AAAAAGAGATCTAATAATAAATTTTGTGGGACTAAAAAGAAACTTTTTTAAGTAGAAGAACTAAAAAGAGATTTTTTTATTAAAATAAAAAAATCAAAGTGAGATTTTAACCTTTTATGATGGTTGGGGTTAATTGAATTGTTAAAGGCAAATAAAATTCGCATTGAACAAAAGTAAGACATTAATTTATTGAACGAAAATAAAAGAAGAGCCGACTTGGTTTAAAAGATAAAATACTATGATGCACAACTCACTGTAAATAACATAGTCTTTCTTTAAAAATTAAGACTTGAAAAAAGTTCACACAAAAACAACATAAAACAAGAAGTCAGATTTTACCATATTTTGAAACATACATTAGATATTGGAGGACAATAAACAAAATATATAAGCAAAACCCACCAAAGAGTATATGAAGGAACGGCGCTCCCTAAATTGATTCCTTCAAGTGCATTTAGTCAATCTTGCTCACCGCTACAAAATAAGGATTTTTCTTGAGGAATACTTCAGTAAGAATAGCATTGGAATGTAAAGAAGCCTTTAGCAATTCCACACTGTTAAAAGTGTATACAATCAACATTACAACAAAGAACCCGTCAAATGTAGCGAGAATTCTGAAAATTTTGTGGCCACAACTGGTCCATGCCCACATCAACCTTCTCTTCAAGCACCCCTATATCTTTGATATTGAACTTGTTGATCATGGTGGTACTTGAAATGGTAGACATTGGTCTCACCTCTAGATCATCCATGATCATATAGGTCACCACACCTTTCACATAACCTTCTTCAGTTGAGCAAGAATTCTTATTTGGTGGATCACGAACATACTTTTGTTGCCTGTCCATTGATGTTCCAAGACTAGGACATTTGACACCAGGGTCGTTCGTCACAGGATTATAACAGCTAGTATTGTAGGTCCTGCTACACCCATAAAACCTCGTAGAATTTGTCATCTGAATGTTTGGTAACAATTGAGGAACAGCTGCTGATGTATGAACTGTAGGACTTAACAGGGCATCCAAGGCCACCTGAGATGCCTGCTTATATGTATCACTTAAAGTCTTAACGCTCTCATAAAACTTTCCAAGGGAACCAACCATCCCTTGTTTAGACAAAATTGCTATCACCGACCCAATAGGCTGAAACGGTAAGTTGAACAGAAAGTCAACAAACTCTTTGCCAGCTTCAGCATAGAGTACCCTGTGGCTTTTCGTGTCTACCAGAAGCTTCAAGCTCAGTTTAGTTTCAACGGCTGCCATGGACACAGACATTATATTTCTCTATTTCTAAGTACCAAATGCATTATGGAAACTCTGTTAAGGCTGCCATGGACAAAGTGAACACACTCCATTCGTTGCGGTAGTGTCTTGTCGTATCATTTGTAGTTCTTAGCAGAAATTCTGTTCTTGCCATCTCAAAGTTGTTTCTTAAGTTCTGTGGAAAAATCATATCCAACTAGTCCCTCAAGCTTGGTGGTGGCAGTTTCTATTTTGTGTTTTCTCAGCTTATGCTGTTTTCTGTACATCTGTTCTTATCTAAGCTTACCTGTGCCATGTGCCAAGAAATACCTCTTTCAATCCCTACTAAATGACATTTTTCTTTCTAAATGATCAATGTGCTCACTGCATTATGATTCTATTGAGTTTCCTTTATTTTAGACAAATACATTGCGTCTTCATGTCAGGTAAGTTCTATTCTTTGACGACTGGGGCCAATCAGAGAAGATGGGATAAGATGAAAGAGCGATTATACACTGCGGTAGACTCCTTTAAGATATTCAACGTTTAAAGTACTTGTTCACAGTAACTTACCAGTTTAGGAAGAACATGCTTAGGATTGAGAATACCATTGTATTCTGCGGAGTGTGAGAGTGTGTGAGGTCTTTTTCTTCCTTGTTAAATGATCTTCCATTTTTCTTCGCTCTTCTTTTGAGATGTTTTTGTCGAAATGGTAAAGAATCGAATCTTATGCGTTCAGTTTGGCATGTGTTTCGGCAGCTTCGCAGTCCAACGCTGTTGAAGTCCTCAGCTGCTTCTACACCTGAAAATCCCGAGGTTGTTTCCTCGGGGAAAACACTCCAACGCTCAAGTCAACAATACTCAATATTCTAGAGAGAGATGCTCTCAAAGAGTAATTGCAGAGAGAGAAGCGTAGAGATTAATTACCTTCTTCAGAGGTGGTTGGGGGGTATTTATAGCCCCAAGTGCTGACATGTATCTGCACATGTAAGCCTCTCATTGGCCCACGTGGTGCTGCCCACGTGGGTATGTCTCCTCCTCTTGGGCCTGCGGGTGCGTAATTGGGCTTGCTGCATGTGGCCCAAAGTGGGCGTTGGGCCTAATCCCAACATTACTCCCCCCTCAGCGTTCGGTTGACGAACTGGATGGAAGCCTTGTTAGCGTGGTACTTGGCCTTAATGATGAAAAGGGATACTCTGCGTCCATGAACGACCTCATACATGGCCGACCTGAACGGCCCGAGGATATTGTTCCTGGCCGGGTGTGAAAGTATATGCCGGCCTTCTGTTGAGCAGGCACAAGGAGTTGGTGTTAAAACCAGCCAAGCTCGACGCTAACTAGAGGGTCGAGCAGACGAGCAAGGGTGACCTTGTCTACTGAACAAGTTGAACAAGACGACCCTAGACGGCCGAGATGAGCGACCTTATTCGCCACTTCAGCGCCACTCTAAAGAATCATTGATTCGTGCGGCCTGATCTCTAGAGATTCGAATTTGGAATCTCTTCAGAGATCCCTGATTAGTGGCGGGCTGAGATTGCGGATTTGTTACGAGTTGATCATGGGGGTTTATTACGATCTGGTCCTTCAGATTTTTCAACAATTGTGGCGAATCTCTGAGGAGATTTGCTTAGGGCGTTTGGTATTCTTCTGCTTTTAACAGACACCCTTTTGCCTCCCCGCAATAAATGCTGGCTCAGCATTTGAGGGGATGTGACAGCTGCAAACGGCGCGTATTGGTCTTTTAATCATAAATGGTTGCCACGTGGACACGCTTAACTGGAGGGCTGCAGACGCGCGTACGGCGTTTACGGAGCACCATCTGAACAGCCAAAACAAAACAAACAGCTTGTCATTTCGTTTCATTTCACTGCTAAGTGTTTTCATACGTTTCCCAGAGAAAATTGCAGAGATATTGATGGCCATTTTTTCCAGATTTCCAGAGGAAGCACTTTAACCTCAACTACTCAGGTAAAAATGACTTCTTTCCACGATGCGCAAGGATTCCGGGGTAACCAAGATGAAGAGGAGGATGTGGATGTGATATCCGTAGAGCCTATCGCGATGGTAGTGCCGCCGGAGTTGCAGGATTCGCCGAGAACCGCCGCGCCTGGGAGCGACGCCAGTTCGAGCGTAAGTGGTGGTTCTGAGGGCCATCAGCCTTCAACCTCCAGTGATTCGTCAACAGAAGAGACTCCTAGTGGGGCGGAGGGCGTTGAGGAGGTAGGCTGCAGTGCACCGGTGACAAGTGCAGCAACAGAGGTGGTGGTGTTCGAAGGGTGGGAAAGCAAGGTTCTCGGCGGAAGGTTGGACAACCTTCGCAAGGCTCCGAAGACTCTGCCGGCCGGCTTCAAGTTCAGGGCGGTGCTTCATCACGAGGTCGCTGACGGTGCGGCCACGGTGAAGGGGTACAAGAAGCTGGAAGAAATGGTGAGGCGATTCCAAATCCCCAGGACCATCCTGATCCGAGCTGGGACGCCAAATGAACGGGCGTGTTCAGTGTCACGGACGGGCTGGGTGCCAGTATACGTAGACCATTTTGACGCCGGTCTACGTTTTCCTCTGCCCGGACTAATTTTTGACGTCCTGGCAGACTACGAGCTGGCCCTTTCGCAACTTACTCCCAACAGCATAAAGTTCATCATAGGCTTTATGCTGTTGTGCGAAAGGCTGGGGATGCCTGCCAAAGCGGTGGTCTTCAGGTCGCTCTTCCTGTGTCGTTTGTGCCCGTCTACGAGTGGGACGAGGTGGTACTACATCTCAGGAAGAGAGAAGATGATGATCTTCACCAACATTAGGAATAAGGTAGCGAGATGGAAGAGGCAGTTCGTCTTTGTGCGCGATACACGAACTGAAAGGATGAATAACGAGCTCGCCGCCCGTCTGTCTGAGTGGCGTACGCCGAACACGTACATGAACTACCCTCAGCTAACAGTTGGTGATACCGACCTGAAGAACCGGCTGCTCGATCACGTGAAGGCGAGGGGTTTAGTGGATCTGGAAGCCTTGGTTACCCCGGAGCAGATCGCACTTCACGGATTTGTCGACGTGACAAATCTATACACTCAAGGTATATCTTTATATAATAGTATAGTTTCTAGCCGATCTGAGTCTTATGTTTTTGTTTGCGCAGGAGTCATGAGCAGCATATTGGAGAGACAACGCCAGAGAGCGCAAAGCTCACGGGGCCGGGGAGCTGGGTCCGGCTTCCAGCGTCAGTCGCGCTTTGACGAGCGACCCCCTGCTGCACTAGGGCGTAGCTCGCAGCATCGAAGTTCGAGCTCAGCGCAGAGGCCACGCGTTGAGCAGAGAGTGGAGCCCGCGCCCTCCAGTTCTAGAAGGCGCACAAGGGAGGACTCTGACACCGAGGACAACATTCCACTCATCCGGCGAAGGACGAGCAATGACTCTCAGCCTGCTCCAACCGCTGCTGCGCGACCTGCCGGTGCGCACCAAGCGCTAGCTCGCGAGGTTGCTGAAGCCGGACCAACCTCGTCATCCGTTGTGGGGCCAAGGTTTGCATACCCGGACGGCTTCAGTTATGCCCGAACTGAGTGCCAGGCTGCTATGCTGCAGGGTATGCAAAACTTTGTGCCCCCTGCAGACCGGCTGCGCGCGAAGGGGCACGTTCAGCAGCATGGTGGACATGCTGCTTTAATCAAGTTGATGGATGTAAGTATATTCGTCGAGCTCATTGCTGGTTTTATTATTTTGTTCTTGTAACTGACGAGTGTATGTCTATGATAGGCATTCAGCTATACTATCGCACTCTTCGAGTGCGAGCAGGGAGCCCGGGTGCAAAACAGCGAGCTCCAACAGAGCTGTAAACAACTGGCCTCTGAGAAAGCTAGTTTGGCTGATGAGGTCAGTCGTTTACAGGGCTCGGAGATGGCTAACCGAGCGGCGTCAGCAGAGAGCCGAGCGGACGAGTTGGCCCGTAAGGTTAACGAGCTGAATGAGGAGCTCGTGAGGGCTCAGGTGGAGAAAGAGAGTGGCATCCAAGCTGCCAAGGAGGAGCTCGGCCGTGCAGAGGAACGCGCCCAGAAAGCGGAGTCTGACAGGGAGAAGGCTCTGCACGAGCTGAGCTCCCTGAGGGAGAGGGTGGTGCAGGCCGACCAGCATGTCGCCCAAGCTGAGGCGTCCTTGGAAAGCACTAAGAGGGCCCACCAGCGCGACGTCTGCTTTGCTCGCGCACAGGGGGTTGAATGGCTGGTGGGAGCAGAGATGTTCCAGGACGCCGTTGCAGTTGCTTCTGCTAACACCACCACGGACATTTTCAACGAGGTTCGTGGGAAGGTGCTGCAAGTGCGGGCTGATTTCCCCATCGGCGAGCTGGCTTTCTTTGAGGGCGAGGAGATTAACGAAGAAGGAAAGAGCCTAGCCCAGCCAGCGGACACCCGGTGAGGCTGAGATGGGAGTTGAACGAGGAGGGTCTGCCCGTGTGGCCCCCTTCTGTGATCGAAGAGGGGGAAGACACAGAGGGGTTGCCAAGTTTTGATGCTTGGGTGGCGAACCCCCATGATGTGCACGCTGAGCCTTCCAGCACGCCCCCCTCTGCTCAGCCTTAGCTCGCACCAAGCGCAACTCCTATTCGCTCTCGTACACTTCCTCCTCCAGATCGTTCGTCACCAGCTCAGTCTGTTACTGCCCCAAACGACGTATCTTTCCCCGTCGACCTGACGGATGATTAGCTTAGAATTTTTTCTTCTGTTTTTGCATTTTCTCTTTTGTATTTTTGTGTTAATCAATGAATTCATTTACCCAATGTATTACACTTGTAAAATTTCATTGATGAAATAGAAATTCGAGTCTTTTGTTTCAAAATTTCTGTGTTGAACGTTCGATAAGTCACTGTTTACAAATGATTAGTAACGATCTGAGCACTAATAAAATACACGTTAACTGTAAAACTTCCTAAGATTGTGTATGTTCCAGATGAATGACAACGGACGACCTTGTAGATCTGCTAGTTGATAACACCCAGGTCGTTTAATATTAATAACCATATAAGGGCCTTCCCAATTAGGAGCGAGCTTGCCCATATGCGAATAGGCATTGGTTAATCCAGCTTTGCGTAGAACTAGATCGCCGACCTGAAACTGTCGAGAGCCCGAACTCTCTTGTTATAAAACTTTGCCACACGGCTTTGGTGTGCCACGCTCCTAATTCGAGCCATTTCCCTTACTTCTTCCACTAGGTCTAGGTTTTCTCTTAGGAGTTGCCCATTATTCTGATCGTCCTGACGATCTGATCTAACAGATGGCAGACCGACCTCTACAGGAATGACGGCCTCAGCTCCATATGCCAGGCTGAACGGAGTTTCGCCCGTGGCCGAGCTGGGTGTCGTGCGACATGACCAAAGTACTTTATGGAGCTCGTCAACCCAATTAGAACGCGCGGCTATAACACGTGTCTTAAGGCCTTGCAAAACGATTTTATTGGCAGACTCGGCCTGTCCGTTTGACTGCGGGGTGTACACAGATGTTAAGGAGAGCTCAATGCCATAGTCATTGCAGAACGATCTCAGTGCTGCTGCTTGGAACTGCGGCCCATTATCGGCAATAATCCGCTGAGGTATGCCAAACCTGCGTGCAGATGACCGAGCTGAGCTAGGAACTACGTTTGCATATATTTTTATTAATGACTTAAGCCACTAAAGAATACCTGCACAATATTGAATTGAATAAGAATTCTTCTATTTTCTTTTCTGTTCTCGTGGACAATGGTTTAGCTTCTATCCATTTAGTGAAGTAATCCACCGCAACGACCAGGAAAGTGCAGCCTCATTTACCTTTGACGAAAGGGCCGAGCAGGTCGACACCCCATTGAGCAAAGGGCCAGGGAGACGTAAGGGATGATAGCGTTTCCCCTGGCATGTGAATGTTATCAGCATTGAACTGGCAGGTCGGGCACTTTTTGACATAGCTCTGTGCGTCCTCAACCATAGTTGGCCAGTAATACCCATGCCTCAGGAGCTTTCGAGCTAAGGTTTTGCCCCCAATATGCGTGCCACATACTCCTTCATGAATTTCTCTCACAGCATATTCAGCTTCAAAAGGAGTGAGACAGCGTAATAGGGGCATAGAGGCTGCCCGTTTGTAGAGCTGATTATCTATCAAAGTGAAATGTGCCGCCCTGCGCCTGACCAGCTTTGCAATGGACTGATCTTCAGGTAGCTCTCCACTTTGTAAATAACTTATTAGCGGGGTGGTCCAGCTCGGTGTAGAGGGGTCTGTACTCAACAGTTGGCACTCAGCTGCGAGATCGGTGTAGCTTGGGGCGTCAAGCACCTCAACGATTGTCGACCTCTGAGGATTAAGGTTCTGCGAGGAGGCCAATTTTGACAGCTCGTCGGCTCGGTGGTTATCCGCTCTGGGTATTTTATCAATTTGGAAAAGAACAAACATTGACTTCAGTCTGTTGACCACAGAGGCATAACGGCCGAGTTGGGGGTCCCTGATCTCACAGCTGCCATTGACCTGGCCTACAACGAGCTGAGAGTCGCTGAAGACCTGAATGCTTTGTACCTTCAGCTCGGACGCTAGCTTTAGTCCGTAAATGAGGGCTTCATATTCTGCAGCGTTATTAGTCGCCTGAAACTTAAACCTTAGTGCGTGCTCAGACCTAAAGCCATCTGGGCCCACTAACACTGCTCCAGCACCTGATCCTTCTATGTTAGCTGCTCCATCAACATATAAAATCCAGATAGGGTGTTCAGGTGCTTTTTCTTCCTTTGTCGCTGAGATGCACTCCACCAGAAAGTCCGCGACGGCCTGGCCTTTTATGGTTGTGCGCGGCTGAAACCTGAGGTCATATTCACTCAGCTCGACGCTCCATCCAACAAGCCGACCAGAGAGTTCAGGTTTCTGCAGTATCTTTCTCAATGGCAAGTTAGTGTAGACAACAATCTGATTTGATTGAAAGTAAGCCCGCAACTTACGAGCTGTGTAAACCAGGGCAAATGCAGCCTTTTCTGCTAATGGGTAGTTCTGCTCGGCACCTTGTAACACCTTGCTCACGTAGCAGATAGGCTTCTGATGTTTATCCTCCTCCCTTAGTAGTACTGAACTCACTGCTTCTTCTGTGACCCCCAGATAAAGGTATAAGCATTCTTCGTTGACAGGCTTGGACAGCAGGGGTGCGGAGGCCAAATATCGTTTGAGTTCGTCAAAGGCCTGTTGACATTCATTGGTCCACTGGAAGTTCTTAGGCTCCCGCAGAGCTTTGAAAAACGGAAGGCATCTTTCTGCCGATCTGGCTATAAACCGGTGCAACGCAGCAACACGGCCCGTCAAACGCTGCACGTCCTTGACAGTTCTTGGTGGCTCCATCTGCTGAACGACCTCAACCTTTTCTGGATTTACCTCAATTCCTTTTTGGGATACTACGTATCCTAGGAATTTTCCCAACTCTACAGCAAATGTGCATTTCAAGGGATTCAGCTTCATTTGTGCTCGGCGCAGGTTTTGAAAAGTTTCATCCAGGTCGCCAATGTGATCCTCAGCTCGCACGCTGGTGACTATCATGTCATCTACATACACTTCTATGTTCCTGCCGATCTGGAGCTTAAAGATGATCTGGACCAGCTTCTGGTATGTTGCTCCGGCATTTTTTAGGCCGAACGGCATCATGACATAGCAGTAGATAGCGTCCCCTGCGTAGAAAGCTGTTTTCTCTTGGTCGTCCAACAGCAACTGAACCTGGTGATAGCCCGAGTTGGCGTCGAGAAAACTCATCCGTGCATGCCCAGCTGCCCGCTCCACTAACTTCTCGACGTTTGGCAAGGGATGAGGGTCTTTTGGACACGCATCATTGAGGTTGGTGAAGTCAATACACATCCTCCACTTGCCATTTGGCTTTTTGACGAGCACAGGGTTGGACACCCACTTAAAGTACTCCACTCTTCTAATGAAGCCTGCCTGTAACAGCTTTTGTATCTCCTCGTCTATGGCGGCTTGTTTCTCTGGGCCAAAAAGGCGACGTTTCTGCACCACCGGCCTTCTGGTGGGATCTGTGCTAAGTTTGTGGACTGTCAACTCTGCCGGGATGCCAGGCATTTCATCAGTAACCCACGCGAACACATCTTGATTGACCCTAAAAAACTCCAGAAGCTCTGCTCGTTCTTCCTCTGTGAGTTTAGTGCCTATCTTTACTGTTCTTTCCGGCACATCAGGGTTTAAAGGAACGGTTTCCACTGGTTCTACCGGCTCTGCTTTTTGCTCGACACCCTCAGGTCTATGTTCAATGTCCGATATGCTCATTGTCTGCTGGCCGGGCTGAGTCGGCCTACTACTTTGGGATCCTCCAGGGGCTACAGCGAGCTCAACCTTCTTAAACGCATCCTGATAACATGCCCTGGCCATCTTCTGATTCCCCTTCAGCACTCCCACCCCTTGAGGCGTTGGGAATTTCATGCAGAGATGAGGCTGTGAGATGACAGCCTTCAGTTCGCACAGAGTAGCCCTTTCTAGTATGGCGTTGAAGGCCGATTCCATTTTGACGACCAGGAAACTGACTGAAGCCATCCTGAAGTGTGGTTCCGAGCCCACATAAATGGGTAGTGTGATTACTCCCTGCACTGGAACAGGTTGATTGTCGAACCCATAGATAGGCCCTTCATACTTTTGTAATGAGCTGGGGTTCAGCTGCATCTTTTGAAAGCAGCTCCAATACAGGATATCAGGTGAGCTCCCAGTGTCAATGAAGACCTTATTGACGTTATGGTTGCCTATATGGACTGTTGCTACAAAAGGATCCGCATGAGGCATCACAACGTCAGGCTCTCCTACTCGCAGGTAATCTGCCGGACTAAATGTTATGGCCGCATTCTCCCACTCTGCCTCTTCAAATGGACGCTTAAGAGGCCGGTTCTTATTTATTGTCATCACCTGGCGAGCGTATGCCTTGCGGGCTCGGGCGCTATGACCTCCTGCATGTATACCACCAGAGATCATATTGATTGTGCCAGATGGCGGGGGTATTCCACCATACCCGACTCCTCTGTGGTCTCTTTGGTTCTGCGTAGGTGTTTTCTGTCCTTGCCCACGCCTATTGAACGGGCGCCCCCTGTATGCTTTGGTCGGCTCAAACGGGTACGGAACGGTCTGGTAAGAATTTGGGTTGCTACCGAGCTGATACCCAGGTACTTGAGGTCGGCCGTACTCTTGTACAAAATGGGTCTGGGTGGGTTGCCGAACAAAAGGCTTCTGCACATACCCCTCCAATTTTCCATTGCGGGCCAAGAATTCGAGCTCGTCCTTCAGACTCTGGCAGTCTTCTGTGTTATGGCCGTAGACACGGTGATAGTCGCAGTATTTGCTTCTGTCAGTTCGTAAAGAATCATGCGTCTGTGGAGGGGGTCTCTTGACCCAGTGCTGTATCTGCGACAATATCTGGGATCGTGACGAGCTCAGGGGTATATAACTGTCATATTTTGGATAAGAGGACGGTTTCCCTCTCTGCTCGCCAATCTTCTGTTTCTTCTTGTCATCTCTGTTTTCATGCTGCTTGGGTTCTTTTCCGTGTCTGTCATCGGCTCATCTCTTAGAAGATTGAAAATCTTCGGATAATATGAAGCTTGCCGACCTGTCATTTACTTCATTCCATGACTTGGGTGGATTCTCCAGCAGGTCGTCCAAAAACCGGCCAGGCTTCAGGCCATGCAACAAGGCAGATAAGCAAATGGTATCGGGGACGTTATCAATGTCCAAAGTAGCTTTGTTGAATCGCTGCATGTAGTCCCTCAAAGACTCTCCCTTTTTCTGATGAACCTGCATTAGTTCAGTTGCTGTACGTTTAATCTCCCTTTGGCTCGCAAATTTGTTGGAGAATAACTTGGCGAGCTGGGAATAGGAGTCTATGGAATGTCTGGGGAGTTTGTGATACCATCTCCTTGCTGTTGTCTTAAGTGTTGCTGGGAACACTTTGCACATCATGGTGTCATTGGCATTTTGGATTCTCATGATGGCTTGATAAGTGTTCAGATGTTCATCCGAGTCGCCCGAGCCATCATACGTCTCTAAGTGGGGAATTTTGAATCCCTCTTGATACGGTTCTGCTGTGATGGATAGGTTCAATGGGGCGCTATCTAAATCAAGAGTTTGCTGATACGACCTGGGACTTTTCAGCTCGTCTATAGACTTTTGTACATCTCGTAGCTGCCTTTCAAGGTCTGCGTTCTTCTTCAGCAGTTCTTCGCTGTGCTTGGATGAGCTGGGCTCGATATTTAGCTTTCCACTTCCCCTTGGCCTGGTCGGCACCACTATGTTGCTTAGAGCGGGGGAGTTTCGAGTTGCCACAACCGCAGCTGGTTGTGCATCCCTGTTCAGCAAAGGAATCAGGGGGTCATCAGGGATTAAGCGGGCAAGGATTCTTCCCATTGCCATTTCAAGAACTCTGGTTCTCTCTTCGAGCTCGGTTGTCCGAGCAGGTTCTGTTGACCTTTCAGGTCGTTCACGCTGTGCATTGTTTGGTCTGGCATATCTTTGTCTCGTTCCTGTTGGAGCTTGGAACTGTTCAGGCTGGGTTGCATACCCAGTTGGTGTTCTTTCATCATCCGTCTCACTTAGGTGATCCTGTTCGGCTCCTCCTACAAAAAGATTTCTTGGCATCGGCCTAAAGTCATTCAATCCGGCCTCAGATACGTGATCGTCCTCCTGTTCGTCTATTTCATATCTTGGGGGATGTTCTCCTGTAAAGGTACGGACCATTTTGTTTTTCAGCAGGTTAAATCACACAGCTTTTTATTCGAGTTTCCCACAGACGGCGCCAATGTTTCGGTAGCTTCGCAGTCCAATGCTGTTGAAGTCCTCAGCTGCTTCTACACATGAAAATCCCGAGGTTGTTTCCTCGGGGAAAACACTCCAACGCTCAAGTCAGCAATACTCAATATTCTAGAGAGAGATGCTCTCAAAGAGTAATTGCAGAGAGAGAAGCGTAGAGATTAATTACCTTCTTCAGAGGTGGTTGGGGGGTATTTATAGCCCCAAGTGCTGACATGTATCTGCACATGTAAGCCTCTCATTGGCCCACGTGGTGCTGCCCACGTGGGTATGTCTCCTCCTCTTGGGCCTGCGGGTGCGTAATTGGGCCTGCTGCATGTGGCCCAAAGTGGGTGTTGGGCCTAATCCCAACAGCATGGTTGTGATTAGATAATTAGACTCTGCACAAGCTCTTTCTCTGCACATGTATCCTTGAAGAAACAGATATATGTACCCTTGAAGAAACAGGTTTGGCTTTGGATGCATCTTGTTTTCAGAAAAACTGCAAATTTATCAGACTCGTGAGAGTAACAAGATATCATCAATTAAGTGATATTACGCACCGAGCATGGCACCATTGGAACTATACTGCTAACAGTGACAATAATTAATTCATGCAACCCAATTTCCACGGTTCGGCAAATCAAACCAAATATTAATTCAACCTTCGTTACTTTCATTGACTGAGTCATAGTGGCGTTGAGAGAGCAGTCGCGAGCTCCTAGCGTTAGCTCTTTCCTATGGTGTGAACACTGTAACCATAGTCAAAATAATATTCCAAACATGACCTCCCTTTGGTCTTTACCCAAAAAATAGAACGTTAGCATATATCTCCATTAATTGGTCCACTTCAAGAAAATTTTGTGGTTGAAAGAACCAGAGGGACACCGGAAGATGTTGGGAGGAATAGGAACTATATATTGTCCACATTTCCTTTGTTTTTTTGTAAATATCGTCCATATTATAGAATTGAGGTGTAAAAATATTGGTGTGGAATGAATTTTTTTTAATTTATTATTATTATTTTTAAATGAATGGCAATTTGCACCAATCTAAGAAAAAAATGCCTAATCCATTTAGCACTGCTCTTACACATTTCAGTTAAACTAGAGAAATTGTAAAGGTTAATTAAAAGAAAATTGAATAGCAGAGGGATAAAATCAACTAAGAATTTTGATCAAATAATTAGACAAATTAATTGTCTCTTGTCGCATTTGTTTAGGAGGAAGATGAAGTAGAAGCTTACTGAGAAGTTTCCAAATTGAAATTTCTAGGAAGAAAAGGAGCAACTTAACAAGTTATAGATTGCCTGCATAAGCGTAACCTTCTCCTTAATTCATTCATCACCCTTTTCACTATTTTTTTCCACTGTTATATACTTATATAGACTAGTTGTGTTTCTTCACGACTAGTTGAGTATTCTCCTTATCTTTCTTCATCACCCTTTTCACTCTCTCACTCACTCATATCCGTTTTCTGTTTCCAGTTGCCATGGATGATGGAATTGTTAAAATGGGGGA